ATAAGTCTCTCTCTGTCAAGAGATGGAAGGTCAGATGCTATTGACACTAAAATGGTTGTTAATTGCATTCGCTGCTACTCTAAGTTGTTTGGGATCAGTACCAGGGATATCAATATTTACTGGGTCAGTAATTCTATTAGTAAGTATTTTTATTTGTTTGTACCAAGCTGATGGGTTTTCAGTTTTTAGATTAATGACACGAGTGCTATAATGATGACGTTTAGCCTCAGATAGGGAATGAAAACTTTTGACGTAGGGTAGAGGTCAGTGCTGTGAGCTCCTCTCCAATTTGCTCTGTGAGTACAGAAAATTTCATAAACTTTCTTCGTTACTGATGACGGACTAGATCTGTTCAATACAGGGGTTGTATAACAAAAATAACAATTATATTTAGGGGTGAAGTAAGTATTTTAGTATAGGGCAAATGGGAGGGGATTCCGCAAGCCAGGTCCGACACAAAGTTGCCAGTTTGTTTTATTATTTGCACCTTCAAATATTCATAACTTTCTTATTTTTAATCGTTTTTAGCTTAAACTTTCACTCTCATGATTGTAACATATGCTTCTACTAAAACCAACTTAATATCAGGGTAGACTTCCCCTTTAATAAAACCGGTAACTTCAATTTCGGAAGTTGAATGTTGGCCTATCACAGGGGCGGATCTACGGGGTCTATGGGGTTTAACCCCGGCCCCCCCCCCCCCCTTGGGCTAGCTGCAGTGAAAAGGTGATGTGCAGTGCCATTGATTAGTTGGACACAACATAGGACTACTGCTTTTTTGGGCAAGCACAAAACAAAAGAATATACGCCATGCTGTGACCCAGTGAAACCAAGTTGGCCAAACGGGGCCAAACTCTGTGTAACTGATGGTGTGCATAAAAAAACGCCATCATGTGTCCAGACTTTTTATGGTCATCATTAGTTGATGCCAGGAAAACATCATTACGGGCTCCAAAATAGCCCTCCCCCCCCCCCCCCCCCCCCCCCCCCCCCCCCCCCCCCCCCCCCCCCCAAAAAAAAAAAAAAAAACGGCCTCGCCGTTTCACGGCTCGGACTTCGCGGCTCGTGGACGATGCATTATGTCATTGGGTCAAACCCAGCATCTCGCTGCTAGCTCGCTCGCACGCACGATCCGATCCTTGGCCGTGCGCGTGAGATGTCTTATTAAGTATATATCTCTATGTGTCTAACGCACTTGTCTGCTACAAAGTACCGTATCGTACCGATATATCGTCTTTACATACGTTACATTATATATGGCATGACGCGAATAAGTATATCTGCGAGTTCGATTTCTTTTGCGTTCCGTAGATCGACATCGACTGCATGCGCGGAATTTGTCTTTTTACTACCTAAGGAATGGAGCTAGCGACCAAATTGGTACGTAATATGCTTATTTGGCCCCTTCTCTGTCCTGAATGTTAACATGGACGATGCAATCCCATTGAAAATATTGTAATTTCGTTTAAAATTGTGTTATTTATAACTTTGACCATTAAATGTGGGCACATATTTGTTACTGTTGTCCCACATACCGATATTTTTGTTAGTCTATAAGTACGAAACATGCATGCATTCACCTGTATTCACCCACATAGTCTAGGTGCATTACTATCCTGGCGCTGGCTGTGTATTAAAAGCTGTGCTATTGATTCTCAACATTTCAAGCACCACTGTACAAAACTCAACTGATTTCACTTAAAATCGGTACTTTAGTGACGATTGATGACAGTAGAGAGGCTAGACCTAGAAATCTAGATCTAGATCTAAGTTAGATCTAGACTCGAGGATCTACAGACTAGACTGTAGATCTAGGTCACTTAAATAGATCTAGAGTCTAGGTCTATTCTATTTCTAGACCTAGATTCTAGATCTAGATCTAGATTAGATCTAGATTTTAGGCCCCTAGGCCCTAGATCTAAATAAAATACAATTTTTTCAAATTTTTAAACTTTCCGACTTTACTTTCTAGTTTAGATTTTTGTCTAGGTCTAGAGTCTAGGCCTAGGTTCTAGTATAGATTCTAGATTAGAATTTAGAAAGAAAAAAAAATTCAAATTGTGAGTGTGAGTGACTGTCTGCTGTCAAACTTGCCGATCAGCCGCATCGCGATGATTGTGTGCATCTGTGTTTTCTCGATGAGCATTTTGACCGACAGAAATCCAAATGGCGGCTTATGAATATTCAAATTCGATATGCGGGATGGTTGACCTCCGCGCGTCTCGTCGAGGATAGCGCGTGCACAAACGTGAAGCAGACAAAAGAAGAACTCAAACGCGCACGTCTATGAATGAGGTCAATGGGTGGAGACTCAAAAATGTTGTCATGATTATTCATTACTTTGATTCAAGATGGCTGACGATAGTCACAGTCTGAAGACAGTCAAGTGGAAGAGATAATAACACTCTTTTGAAGAACATTGCATATGCAGAGGTCCCTCTCTCGTGTTGTCTGCTTCACGTTTGTGTGCGTGCTATCCTCGACCAGACGCACGTAGGTCAACCATCCCGCATAACGTATTTGAATATTCATAAGCCGCCATTTTGATTTCTGTCAGTCAGAAGGCTTAAAGTGGATCATAGAGAAGCAGCCAAAAGCTTGGTAAGTCCCTTATTTCATTTACAAAAAGAACTCTTACCGACAGTCATGATATCTAGAAAATTACTGCAAAATTTTGAGGAGAAATGATGCATTTCTCCTCAGGTTTTTCTTGTTTGTGGGAGGGGCCTAACTACTAAAATCTAGTTGTGATATCTTCCCCACACAGCCTAGAATATATACCTACGGTCATACCGTCTGGGTATAGGGAATGACGACAAATGTCAGTTTTATTAAAGAATGACCCATACCAGACAGTTATTTCTGTCTAAGAGAGTCCATGCTAATGCGTATTGAACTCTAGCGCTGTACTACATGCTAATACCGGATAGGCACCAATTGCACACATAAATGGGCAATTCCACTGTAACGGAAGGACACTCAGACAAGATTTTTGAACTTCAGGTTCATACTAAAAGAACTGTTTTATTAGTATAAGATGTGAAACAGTACAGATATAATACCTATATAAGTGCCTTTAATTCTCCCCAAAAAAATTGTCATTATAGTTAAGTAGTTTAAGAATGTGCATATTAATTATCTCGGTAACGGAAGGACATAAAAATGGACATGGTTTTTCCAGTTAATTAGTGTTTATCCAAACTTTGTGAAGTTGATGAAGCTTTCCACTTGACTGAAACACATTTTGTTCCCATAGTTTAATACATACTAATAAAACATTTCTTTTAGTATGAACCTGAAGTTCAAAAATCTTGTCTGAGTGTCCTTCCGTTACCATGGAATTGCCCATATAGTCAATACACACATTACACACAAATGCACACAATGAATATGATGTGGCTGATGGACAATTTGACAGTAGACTCGTGATTTGAATTTTCAAATTATTCTTTCTAACAAAGTAACCGGTAAGTTGAACAAATTATATTTGCCTTGACTTTTACCCGAGATTCTGAAAGAATGCTGTGTTTTCAGCAGTCAGGCTTCCAGTTCAATTTCATTTTCTTCCTTCTCATACTAGTTGGGTGTCTTCATCTTGGTAAGTTTTACTGCTATTTAGGTGTCATCATTTGTCACTAAAGTCACTCCAGCAAAGCATAGAGAGTCAATGCGAATGCGTATTGACCTACAGTGTACGTGTATAGCACTGCACTACATGTTAAAAGGCAGCATTTGCACACATGAATACGGTAGTCAATACACTCTCAATACACAAATGCACACAATCATGCCGATGTTTGACAGTAGACTTACAATTTGAATTCTTAAAAGTTACTGTGCATGACTAACTTTCTTGTTTTGATTGCAGAGCCTGCATTGTATGATGGAAAAGGATTGTCTACTCAATGTTTTGGGGATTTAGGCATTTTAGATTGAAAAGCAAAATGGAGAAGACGGAAGTGCTAAAAGTCTTCTTTCCTGAATGTCTGTTGAATGCAGGAAGTGGGATTTGCCTTGGAACTATACACCCAGCCAAAAGGTCCATATGCATTCTCGCTATCATACACCCATCAAAAGAAGAGGATGTTCCCAAGCCAGAATTTGGCATCCCCGTCATTGGTACTTACACAAATATATGCAGAGGCTTGAGACAATCATCAGACAAGAACAGCTGGCACAGCAACTACATCATTGAAATGGAGCAAAGACATCACAATGAGATCCCAGCATGCAAGATCATCCAATCACCATGGCAACACTCGGCTGATACTGGGGATACCAGCCTCCTTCTCATACTGTTTAATGATTTTCATGTAATACATGCCCAACGTATCTGTTTAGATAATGGCAATCCAGGTGAGAAGAGTGCTGCTTATGAACCTACCCTATCTTTGCTTGAAGAACGTCAGAAATCCACCACTCATCAATGTGAAGCAGTGGATTTCTTATTCTCAGCAGTCCAGCAATTTTGTAGAACTTCACACTCCCTCTTTGCATCTCAGAGTATGCCCATGTCATGTTTAAGAACAGATTCCAGGAGTAAAGGATTCCAATCATGCAGTCAACTGTATGGACTTTGCTGTATCTTACCTGTCTTCATCACAAGATCTCTATTTCACTGTTTGAACAACATCAAGAAAAAAAGGTAAGTGTGAACACAGACATGTTTCGAATTAATAGTTTGTTTAATTTCATTTTAAATCGTTGCTGTACTCTAGTCAACCTATGGCCTTCAAATATTTCTTCTACAAAGAGATATTGTAGTTTAAATGCACTTGCATCTAGAATGGGGCACCAGTTGGACTTGATAAAGTTTGTTTAAGTTGTTAATCTACATTCTACCTATAAACAAATTATTTCTTCAGGTGAGCTGATTGGTAAACTTTAAGGGTAAATTTCTGTAACTGCACACAGAGGAAAGTTTAAAAAGTAAAGCATGTTCCAATTATTGTTGACAAAAGAACTCAGACTTATTTCTCATGAATACACATACACATGTACATGTATGATGTACATGTCATTGCATTTAGTCTGTTCTTCAATACAAAACTATTCTTGAAATAAATGTGAATTGTTGAGCCATCTACATGTACAATACTACAATGTCATGTACTAAACTACTTCGCATTATTATAGATTCTGTCAGAATGACTGGCTGTACGAGTTCTTCACATTCCCAACGACAGGATCTCATCTTGCTAACAAATCACATCAGTTCTGTGAGTTTATGAGAAAGGAGAAGGATGATGGGAAACAGGGATTATCCCAAGAGGGTATAAGATCAAACGATCATTTCATCAGGTAAGAATTTCATGTCAGCTCAGATGAATGCAAGTATTGCTCAGTCAACAATTGCTCTCACCTCAATTTTTAACACTCGTCGTAATAAGAAACTTAAACTCTGGACCATTTTTCCTAGACCTGCAAAGCACAGTAAAATACTTGTTTAGTAAAGCCCAGAGAAAATTGTGGAGCAAAAGGATTTCTGAAATATTCTTCACTTGCCCAAGTTATGAGGAATATTTTTGATATTTTTTATCATTCATAGAATTGGGATTTCTTTTCTTTCCAGATAAAATAATAAAATATTTATATTTTTTAAACTGATATAGAGTTGTATGTCTATGTCTATGAGATCTTTGTATTAACGGATATTCAACTCTGTTTATCCGGATGTGATGGATAGATTACATTTATAAGAACTTGAATCTTTCAGAATCTTATGGCAGATGAGATTAAGCTAGGGTACAGCATTATTAGAAAGAGGTCACAATTTAAGTGTTTGTTTTTTGTTAGTAGTAGTAGTAGCAGCAGTAGCAGTAGTAAAATATTGGTGTTACCTGTGCCTAGGAGGGGAACAGCAAACTAAATCGCTTTGACCCTCGGGTCTCTCATACTGGTATAACTGATTGGAATGTGCAGGGAGACCACTACACCAGGGTTTCCCCTAACTCTTATACAAATAATACAGTGGGTAATAATGCATTGGGCAAAGCTAGTGACTCTCCTGTACTTGAGACCTTCATTTAACATCCTATCAGAAGGACAGTGTTATCCATTGTAACCTACTCTGCATCTATGAATTAGGAGGGGCGTGTTAACGCACAATACAGGCTTCACTTGTCATACTCCAGGGCTGGATTCAAACCTAAGATCCTTATCATCTACATACATGTACATGTACATGCACAACCCTCTATTTAGGAATGGGATTTTAAAGTTGATACTCTAAGCAAATAAATGTCCCTTAATTTGTTACCTACGGCAAGTATATGTTATTTTTAAGTTTTTCAATTACTTAGTATATCACAAAAAAATTCTGTCTACTCGAAATCCTCAATTGAAATGTCAAAAATATCCGCCTCTGCATAGAAAATCAGTCACGGCGCTGGTCTACTATTTATGACCTCACGTCCGGGATAGAGTATATTCAAGTACCCGGATGTTCCATAGCAAACATGTGCAGAGTGATACGATTTTCTGCATATTTTTGTTTCAAAGGCTGAAAAGTCTAATAAATCATAATTTTATGTACAATTTTTTACCTTCCCCCAGTACTTCATAGTATTAACATCAATTCCCCTTTTAAAAATTATGACATATACATGCCAACGATGTGCTATTAGTCGATATTTTCACCATGTAATTTTTGTTTTGGTGTTGAAATCGGCCCAGGCACTGAGTGAACACTAGCTGTCTACCCATGCACAGTTCATTACCATACACTACAGCGATCTCCCGATGGTTTCTTCTTCCTTTTTCCCATGTCTTTCGCCTTCCTTGGCCCTGAAGATCCTTCATCTACCAATTCTGACACCGGTAGTCAGGAGCAAGTCTTTGTTAGTTGTTTTTCTTAGCTGGCAACGTCGCTTTCATTCTCTTGCAATTGCCGATAAACATATAACTAGCGCACGTACGTTCCATCACAAGCAAGCAGCGCCTAGAGCAGCGGCTAATTGGTCTTACCTCCCGATTCTGCTCGCTTCACGAACGTTCATGCAAGAGCCGCATCACTCGCCAAAATATTATAGAGGAAGCGCGCTTGCATGATTTCGTTCAAGTTTGATATTTTACAACATAAAATGTTTAACTGGTACTGTATCCTTTTTTGAGGCAGTCACACACATCTATGATAAGTACTATCGTAGTTCTAGACCTATTCGTTTTACAAAACTGCTCCTGTACCTTATCTGATGACAATATAATGCATCCGCCTATTCATACGTGCACGATTTAACTTTAATTCCTAAGCAGTAAACTCGTCTTAAATCTCTACCAAATAGGTGAATATGAGGATATAAAAAGAAATCAGCGACTGGAAAATGTTGCTTCGTTATTCTTCATTCAAATAAAAACAGAAAATCCATCAAATATACTCCTTACCAACAACAAATCTAAGCTCTGACAGGATAGCATTTACGTAGGGATATCACTGCCATTCACTCTCACTGAGCCCATGAGTCCCGTTCGTGACGTCACGGATAGAGGCCCGACTCTACGTGCACTTCCGGGTTTCAAACTTAGATATTTTGGTAGAGTTTACTCGAATAAATTCATTATTCTAAACTTGTTTTGTCGGATGGACACCATTTGGTGTTATTATGGGGGTTAAAAGCTTTCTATTTATGTAATTGTCTCAGTATATGGGATTGTCTTAGAGTATCAACTTTAAAGGTATTCGAGTGTATGTTGGCAGTTGATTTACTCATTTTATGTTATTTTAGATTCATTGCCATGTAAAGTTTGAAAAATTATTTAATTTCTTTCTTTCAGGATAGGAAATTCATTTTCTACTGTGATGGTTGATCTTGTACTTGGTGTTTTATTGTTGATATGGATGTACAGTGCCGATCTACCCGTCCTATTGGCAGACATTGTCAAAGATAAGGCTGATGTAAGTATATTGTAGTAAGCAGCTTGCCCCCCCCCCCCACAAGTACAATTGATTCCCCAAATTAGTTTTATTACACAATCATTAAAGTATGACAGGTTGGTGCAAAAGTATGTTAATTTACAATGATCAAAATAGAAAAAGGAACCACATGTGACAAAAAGCAGAGCTTGTACACATAAATAGTATAGTAATAATACTAATACAGATAAATGCAATCAATGCATAGTGCACAATGAACTGGGCAGTCTCTCCATGGGCTTAACAAGGTATGTTAGAGATGTTAGAGAAATGGTCTTTTTCAATGCCATGAAAAGGTGTCTGAATGTAGTGCATGTGTGTCGTTTCAGGCTATTGTGGCAGACCCAATTCGCCACCTTGGCTTGACACGGAGTATTTGTCAGGATGCCCGTGTCTGGCCTGGCGCTCCCCGTCGTTCGTTTAGACAAAATATATGCCCGTAGCTTGATGGCTGGAGTTCTTTCACTGCTCACGTCACAGGGCGTTGTAACAAATCAGTGTTTTAGTATTGGACGAAGGTTAAGCATTTTCTGTTGTACGAGCATGCGCTATAGCAATATGGTGCATCGTTGATTTAGCAATTACCAAACTGAAGGAAAATGAGCATAAATTACATATTTTGATCATGTTGGTGCAATTATCATGTTTCTTTTGGGGATATTACTTGTATAGTAGTGATCTAATCAGGAATAAGGGGTTATACTGAAGATTATATGTGAAGATTTTATGGGATTAGTAGAAATGTTGTGTTGAAGTGTTGTTTTACTAACGAGGACATAATTGTTCTTTTATGCGTTTATGTATAGGGACATTTTTAAGATGGCCAGGGTTGTGCATCTAGGGCTTTCCACTGCACTGTATCCGATACAGGCCAGCCTCACCGAGGCTGGCCTGATAGTTGGCCTGATAGTTGGCCTGGCCTAAGCCTCTAAGCTAAGTCTCACATAGTTTGCACTGTACTTGTACTGGGTTTACCCGACTGTTGAATGGATCGCAATAAAGACTTTCAACCTACACATCATGATTGGTTTGATTTCTTGGAGCAGTGAAACCAAGGGACGAGAACCTGTGACAAGTGTTGACAAGGGAAATTGATTGTTCGAAGGATGCTCAATTGATTGATGCTGTGAACGAGACGTTTAGGTGACCGATTGTAGTCGATGGACGAATGATTGTTGAGATACGTGTGAGCAGTTAATAACTCCAGCCATTAAGCTACGGGCATATATTTTGTCCAAACGGACGGAGAGCGCCTGGCCAGATACGGGCATCCTGACAAATATTCCGTGTCAAGCCAAGGTGGCGAACCGTGTCCATCACAGCGTATTAACAATCATGCATCCTTCGACTGCAATCGGTCACCCCAATCGTTGTGCACAGCAACAGTCAATTGGACATCCTTCGAGCAATCAATCAATCAATCACCAATCAGTCACCATGCTATGTCAACTCCTGTCACTGATTCTCGATCTCATTGGCTAACTACGGTTGCACTGTTCTAAGAAATCAGACCAATCATAAGTTGCATGTCGAATTCCTTTAATGCGAACCAATCAACATTCAGGGTAAACTCGATCAACACAAGTACAAGTGTAGACTAGATGTAAGACTCAATTACTAAAGACTAAGGCCAGCGCCAACTATAAGGCCAGCCTCGGTGAGGCTGGCCTGTATCGGATACAGTGCTGTGGAAAGTCCTAATTACACAATCCTGACCATCCTCAAAATTTCCCTATACATAAACGTATAAAAGAACAATTATGTCCTAGTTAGTAAAACAACACTTCAACCCAACATTTCTGCTAATCCCATTAAATCTTCAAATATAATCTTCAGTATAACCCTTATTCCTGATTAGATAACTACTATACAAATAATATCCCCAAAAGAAACATGATAATTGCACCAACATGATTGTTATATGTAATTTATGCTCATTTTCCTTCAGTTTGGTAATTGCTAAATCAACGATGCGCCATATTGCTATAGCGCATGCGCTTACAACAAAAAATGCTTAACCTTCGTTCAATACTAAAACCCTGATTTGTTACACTATCTTTGATTGTAAATGTGTCAATTAGTGGGAATCAAAGCATGAGAAGAATAGTGTATTGAAGATAATCTGCTGGTCTTGTGAAAATGATGGGGGGGGGGTGAAATAAGAATGAGCAAGAGGCAGCCAGGCATGTATAATGTTTTCATTCATGTACATGTGAGGAACAATTACATTTGTTTATTGTTTGTTCATCAGCAAACAGGCATTGGTCTTCAGCACCTGTTACACTGGTTGATGGGAGCACCGGCTGGTCTCAAACTCAACACATTCTTGGCTCATTTCTTGGGAAACTTCTTCCTTTATCATGTCTACCTATGGATTGGTGAGCAAACCTTTCTTACTTTTGATGAGAAATATTAAATCAACATTGGAAATCCATAGAGAGTTTAAAAAGCACCAAGGTTTGTACGTGTTTCTAGGCATAATTTGGCGCTCTGGTTTGGTGTTTGAGTTTAGAGATTAAAATTCTATTATGATTGAGCTCTATTAAACATCACTGTTCAAATTAAGAAGTTGTTATCCTATAACACTAATACTTTGTTAATAATTCATCATGTTTTAACTGTAGATCTCATTGTATTATATGAGCATTCCATGATATCTATTTACACAATCTGTCTTTGATTGAGACTAGAGTGATGTAAGAAACCTCACGCAAATGGATACTCTCTAGCCAGCGGAACAGTACTGGTACAGGGTGTAGGTTTCACTCCTGGAGGGTAAATACTATGCAACTATGGTAGCTACTGCAGCTAGATACTGGATCAGAGAGTGCAGCACATCTACTGCAAAGAGCCACATTTCACACATTGTCTTAGAGTAGTCACTTAGTTTCCTGTCTTTTGCTTTGTAAATGTTGATTTAGAGTTCATCATAAATAATGATGTAGACTTGCTAGGTCTTTTTCTACAGAAAATCTAAAGTCACATTTATCAAATCTAATTTATGTGAAAATTAGGATTTCCTAGATACTCTGTGCCTCTTTGAAAAGCCAAAAGTTTTTCAAATGTTCGCCTAGATTTATGTTGAGCCTAATTTCCTTAAAATCTATAAAAACTTAAAATTTATGTTTGTTTGGAAAATTTGTACTAACTATTTTTTTTTTACCCACAGACACCAACACTCACCATGAAATAAATATATTTCTTTGTCTGTAGGGGTTAAGTGTCAGTCTAATGGAATGTGTACATCAATTAAACACTGGTTGCCTATCATGGTTTGGCAGTTGACATTTGACAAAAATGAAACATCAATGACCGGAACTATGTCAGAAAATCAGAGGTCAACACCTAAATTTGAATGATGTCTCGTTAGTGTTAGTTCATGATTTTGCGGCAAAATAAAGGCTAATACCAAACACCAATATCAAGTGTGAAATCATCCAATGACCAACCTCCACTTAAATTTCACTTTTTATCACCATTTGAAGGAGTTGCCGCGAGACAGAAGGGTAGAAAAAAATCCTCCATATTGTTAAGTTTTATTTCTCATGCGTCTTTAAATTATTTGAAGAACAAATATCTGTTTTCCTCAGATATGTCAACACGTTTTACTTTCCACAGATTTTGTGCATGCTTCAAAGAAAGAGGTGTGTCTAAAAAAATAATATGTTCCAATGATTACTTATTTGTTTTGTCCCTCTAATTATCTTGCAGGTTATCTAAGTGTACTGCTTCCCATCATGACTTCATTGCTTTGGTGTATAGCAGGAGCAGGGGTCCTTGGGTTCTCTGTTCAACTAGCACTGGCTTCAGACCTTCTATCTGCTCTCACTTTCCATATCTACTGTTTTTACGTCTATGCTGCAAGGTAAAATGTGACCTTCTCAATACATCTGTTTAGCTAACCTTGTTTCAGACCATCTATCTCTTTGCATTGTTATGAACTACCTAGTCCATCTACTTGCCTCAAGGCATGCTAGCTGCCTGCATATCATTGTGTTTACCGATGCCTTTAAGTCTGATAGGTAGCTGTCTTTAATTTGGGGTAAAATATTTAGCCAAAAGTTTGAACTGAATACCAAGATTTGCTAAGTATTTTATATATGCCAAATACTAAGTAAAAAGCTTAAATTTTGTACTTAATTATGGAATTGAATTCTGGCCCAGATTCCCCATATGATTAACTATTGGACATCCATAAGTGGCACACTTACTTTCCCCTATGTACAGAGTTTGATTGAAACAAGTCTTGACTAAAACTGTCATTAATAATAGTAATGATAATAATGTATTTATGTAGCGCATTTTCCGTATACAAGTTCAAATGCAGCTTTATTGTTAACAGAAGAGGTGAGTATCGAGATATCTTTTTAAAGGTATTGACAGATTGTTGGTTACGAAGAGATATCGGTAGGTTGATGGTTCAGCGTGATGCCTTGAGAGGAGCGAAGGGAGTAGCGGGATGGTTGCCTGATAGTTACATGTAGCATCTTGGGAGATGGGTGGTTCAGCGTGATGCCTTGAGAGGAGTGAAGGGAGTAGCGGGATGCTTGCCTGATAGTTACATGTAGCATCTTGGGAGATGGGTGGTTCAGCGTGATGCCTTGAGAGGAGTGAAGGGAGTAGCGGGATGCTTGCCTGATAGTTACATGTAGCATCTTGGGAGATGGGTGGTTCAGCGTGATGCCTTGAGAGGAGTGAAGGGAGTAGCGGGATGGTTGCCTGATAGTTACATGTAGCATCTTGGGAGACGGATGGTTCAGTGTGATGCCTTGAGAGGAGTGAAGGGAGTAGCGGGATGGTTGCCTGATAGTTAGGAGTTCAGATAGGTAGGGAGGAGCCAGACCGTGGATTCAGGTTGAAGGGAGGGAGGTTGAGAAGAAGTATTTTGTATTGAATCTGGGACCTGATGGATAGCCAGTTTAATTGATGAAGGATACGCTTCATCTGACAGAACTAGGGTGGACCTGTGGCAAGTCTGGCGGCAGCATTTTTAACTCTGCGTAGTTTGAATATAATCAGTTGCAATTCTTAATAAGTCATATAATGATATATAACTCAAAGTCTCCAAACAAAATTTTACAAAATGTCCTCCCACTCAGAATCTACAGTCTTCAGATATCAGGATTGCTTTCTCTGGCTCGTCTCTTCCAAGGCAAGAAATGGAACGTTCTTCGTCAGAGGGTAGACTCATGTTCTTACGATGTTGATCAATTGTTTATGGGGACTCTTCTCTTTACGATGCTCTTCTTCATGTTGCCAACCACAGCTCTGTTCTATGTTGTCTTCACTGTGGTAAGAGAAAAATCCTGAAGAATAGTACTAAATGAGAAATTATAAAATCTATTAAGCGACTGACTGACTTTGGTAATAACATACATAAAATGAACTGTATAGGGTACATGAGCATTCGTGGGAAGTTTTAAATTAGTATTATCTTTCAAATGCCGTTGGAATTTAACCTTTTCATTTTTTTGGCCTGCAAATTGGACATAATACCTTTAACACATCAAACACTACTCTATTCAGTATCAATTTTCATGTGTCGAAGGCAGATGTCACTCTCTTCAACCTTATTCAGTTCTACTCAAGGACGCTGGGTATCATCAAAGGGTGTCATAAAAGGTGAAAATGTAATGATACATCATGTGGACTAGAGCACAGTAACAAAGCTTTGAGTTCTTATGTTTTGCTTATAGCTTCGTCTATTGATCCTCTTCATCCAAAGTCTACTGACTCTCCTGAGGGAGCTACTCCATACCTTCCCATGGTTCTCTCTGTTGCTATGGCTTGCTGGATCAAACATGCTCAACCAGGAAGTACACTTTCAAGTGCTACCAGTATTGCCATGGCAACCAACTTCTCTTTCTCTTCAGGTAAGTCATTTCTGCTCAGAGAATTGAATAATAGGAAATTAAACTCTTAAGCAATAAGCACTTTAGAAGGATTGCCTATAATTGAGTTTGCATCCTTTTGCTAGACACAAGATGATTTGGTAGGTATGGTATGGTATGGTATATTTTATTTATTCACATTTAAAAACAAATACAAAAGTTGTGCCCGCATTCAGCAAAAGCTGTTTTTCAGCGAGGCTGTGATGATCGTACAATTTACAAACAAATATGCAAGTTATAATAAATGAACATATTTACAGAAATTTAAGTACAAAATAGAATCATAGTGACAAAGGGGGAAAAAACAAAATTAGTATCCATGAGATGAAAGAAGTGAGCAAATATTTTGAATTTTACTAATCTCAATGTTGTAAGATTTAAAAACATTTATAATTCTGAAATCGTTGGGTGAGGTATTAAAAGCTTTGATGCATGGACTATATTGAAGAAATTTGTGTGAGGTCTTGGAAGGGGGATTTGTGAATTAGCATAACAGAACATATACGCGCCTACATTAGTATTTAAGTGGATCAATGAAGATAAAACAGGTGAACCAAGATCATGTAACAACTGAAATATAGTAACTAAAGCCTGTTTGACCAAGTATACTTTTAGCATGTTGATTTCGAGGGTTTTATAAAGAATTTCAGTGTGAAATCTACTATTCACTCCGAGGACAGATCTCAAACATCTATTTTGTAGAGTTTGGAGATGTTTTAACAGAGTTTCTCTACCGTTCATCCAAATTGTGCTGCAATAAGCGAAATGCGACTGAATTAAGGTTTTGTACAGTATTTATGCTATCTCTTCATCTGTGAATTGCCTCATTCACTTTAGAGCAAAATACGTCTTTAAAACCTTTTTCTTTACATGGTCTATTTGTGGGTTCCATGAAAGATTGCAGTCAATTCCATTCCATTACTCTAAGTAATTTTTTGTTATTCAGACGATTATCAACATTACAGAAACGACTCAAATTTGACTTTGAACCGGTTAACATGACCTGACATTTGTCAACGTTAAGCAACGATTCATTATTTGAAAACCATGTCGGGGCTGATTTCAAATCACCATTGATTACTGTCTCTAATATCTTTGGGTCTTTTGAGGAAAAATATATGCAAGTGTCATCCGCATACAGAGAAAGGGAACATTTGTTGATCATTCAGAGTTATAATAAACAACAATGGCCCAAGGATACTTCCTTGGGGCACTCCGCCTGTTACTTTTCTGCTCTATGACATGTTACCATCTACCAAAGTGCATTGTTCCCTATCATGGAAATAATCCTGAAATCAACATATTGAATTTTGATCAAAACCATAATATCTTAGCTTTTTAAGCAAAATCTCAAACGCTTTTTCTAAGTCGAGCGTTACAATACCTACTACATACCCATTGTTTAATTTTTTACAAAAATCTTCTGTGAGTGCAGTCAAAGTCTAATGTTTCAGGCGAAAGCCGTGATGGTTATGACATAATAGTTTATTCTTTGAAAGGTAATCATACACTTGATTAAACACAAGTTTTTCCTGCACTTTAGATAATACAGGTAAGACCGATATTGGCCTATAGTTGCAGGGATTAGCTCTATCACCACCTTTGTGAATAGGCGTCACCCGGGCCCTTTTCCAGGCACAAGGAATTTTTCCCTTTCTTAATGACGCATTGATGATTATGAGTTAGCAGTTTAACAATGTATTCAATAAAATCTTTTACGAAACTGGCTGGTATTTGATCGAGGCCAGTGGCCTTGTGCCTTGCAATATCATGAATACATTTCAAAACCTCATTATCTGTTATCTCTTTAAACTTAAATGTTGAGTTTACTTGAGTCATATACTGATCCATATTACCACCAAATATTTAGGTTCCCTTCCGTTTAGATGGTAAATCAACAAAATGATCATTTAAACATGATGCAATATATTTTGATCCTGTTATTTCTTTATTGTCAATAATTATCTTTTGAAAACCACTATCATTGACATTTTTAGGTATGATACGTCTCTATGATTTCCACATTGCATTTAATTTACCTTCATTATTCGAAATGCTTTCCGAAACATATCTCTTTTTAGATTCCCTAATCATTGATGTCACAGCATTTCTTAGTTTTCTATACATCGCCCAGTCATTCAATCATTTCAATGACCCTGATCCTTTAGCTTTTCTTTTCATTCCATCTCTTTCTGGCATTCTGCTTAAAATTTCGTGTTTTATCCATGGTGAATCTTTATGACAAATTATTTTTCTTCTTAATAGAGCATGTTTATTTAAAACTAAATGGAACTTAGAGCTCCATTTTTCAAAAGCGCTGATTGGATCAGGGTCAGAAAGCACATCATCCCAATGAACTTTACAGAGAAAGAAAGAAAGAAAGAAAGCCATTATGTACATGTTTATACCTTTAGATGGTACAAACATTGTAAAGCAATATGTGCATGTTTATACCTTTAGATACATACATCATAAATACATTGTTATAACTTGTATAACCTGTTTCCTCCTTTTCCTGTATAGATGCAGCTGATGACTTTGCAAGAAGCCCTTCAAGTTGGCCATAGTCTGCCTGTTACTCTCAAACCAAAGAAGCTTTCTCTAGCACTGATGTGTAGCAAGCTTGTCAGAGGTCAGCTGATCTATCCATGGGGTGGAGAGTGCAGTTAAAGAGTCAAGATGATCTGTTACTCTCAAACCAAAGAAGCTTTCTCTAGCACTGATGTGTAGCAAGCTTGTCAGAGGTCAGCTGATCTATCCATGGGGTGGAGAGTGCAGTTAAAGAGTCAAGATGATCTGTTACTCTCAAACCAAAGAAGCTTTCTCTAGCACTGATGTGTAGCAAGCTTGTCAGAGGTCAGCTGATCTATCCATGGGGTGGAGAGTGCAGTTAAAGAGTCAAGATGATCTGTTACTCTCAAACCAAAGAAGCTTTCTCTAGCACTGATGTGTAGCAAGCTTGTCAGAGGTCAGCTCATTTATCCATGGGGTGGAGAGTGCAGTTAAAGAGTCAAGATTTAAAGTGATAGGATATAATTCAGGCTCTCAACAGATGATCTGTACAAACACCTTCTGAATCAACTATTTTTCATGAATAGTCAATCTTAAAAAGTATTTATGCCATCAGCAGAGATGCCAACTGTTCCGTTTTTGCCGTATTTGTTCCGTTTTTCGCTATGAATATGGCAGTACGTTTTTTGTATGTTTTGTTACGTTTTTATGCCTCCGTTACGAAGTAGCCGGAGGCATTATGTTTTCGGGTTGTCCGTCCGTCCGTCCGTACGTCCCATTCTCGTGATCGCGTTATCTGAAGAACCGATCGATGGATTCCTGCCAAACTTTGGTCATGTATGTATCTTGCAGAGCCGATGAACTGATTAGATTTTGGGGTCATGGGGTCAAAGGTCACAGGGCTCATTATACATGCAAAAACAGCTCGTGATCGCGTTATCTGAAGAACCGATTGATGGATTTCTGCCAAAATTTGGTCATGTATGTTATTTGCAGAGCCGATGAACTGATTAGATTTTGGGGTCATGAGGTCAAGGTCAAAGGCCACAGGGCTCATTATACATGCGAAAACAGCTCGTGATTGCGTTATCTCAAGAACCGATTGATGGATTCCTGCCAAACTTAGATCATGTATGTATCTTGCAGAGCCGATGTAACTGATTAGATTTTGGGGTCACTAGGTCAAAGGTCACAGGGCTCATTATGTATGCAAAAACAGCTCGTGATTGCGTTATCTCAAGAACCGATTGATGGATTCCTGCCAAACTTAGATCATGTAGGTATCTTGCAAAGCTGATGAACTGATTAGATTTTTGGGTCACAAGGTCAAAGATCACAGGGCTCATTTTACATGCAAAAACAGCTCGTGATCGCGTTATCTCAAGAACCGATTGATGGATTCCTTCCAAACTTAGATCATGTAGGTATCTTACAAAGCCGATGAACTGATTAGATTTTGGGGTCGCAAGGTCAAAGGTCACAGGGCTCATTATACATGCAAAAACAGCTCGTGATCGCGTTATCTCAAGAACCGATTGATGGATTCCTTCCAAACTTAGGTCATGTATGTTACTTGCAGATCCGATGAACTGATTAGATTTTTGGGGTCATGAGGACAAGGTCAAAGGTCATGCGGCTCATGTATGCAAAAATAGCTTGTGATCACATTATCATTAGAACAGATTGATGGATTCCTGCCAAACTTAGATCATGTATGTATCTTGCAGAGCCAATGAACTGAGTAGATTCTTGGGTCATGAGGTCAAAGGTCATGGGCTCATTATGTATGCAAAAATAGCTTGTGAACGCATTCTCATTAGAACTGACAGATGGATTACTATTTAACTCGGGACATTTTGCAGAGTCAATGAACTGAGTAGATGTTAGGGTCATGAGGTCAAAGATCAAAGGGTCATATAATGTATATGAGAAATTGCTTGTAATCACAATATTCTGAGAACCTGTTAATGGATTACAATTGAACTTGAATTTGAAAAATTTCTTCTGTTTTGGTTTGGAAAATTGGTCTGTGACAGAGGCATCATTTCGACTGCGCGCGGTCAAGTTCCATCTAGTTTATTTTATTTTTTATTTATTTATTTATGTATTTATTTATTTATTTATTTTTTTTTTTTTTTAGTGACGTTTTTCTTAATTTTTGATCATGGGCTTTGTGTTGTAAGTGTATTATGCACCTACGTCTTCAAACGGTGTACGCAGGATGGTGATACTGGCCCCAAACTGCGCGCATTGCGAAGAACCCACGTGTAATGTATGCACGTCGCGCTCCGATCCGGGTATGTATACGTGGTACTGCCATTTTGTTTTTTGTCTAAAAATACTATTTTTTGCTCTTAAGAATCCTTTTTTTTGTTGAAGAAGGTTGGCATCTCTGCATCAGGAATGGTATGTGTTTTTAAAAACTAATAATTTGTCACTTTGTTCACGGGCCTAGACTTTCTTAAGCAGAATAAAAGTTGATGCTCTTGTACTTCAATTTCATCTAGAACTTCAGAAATATATCATATGATGTCAGGCTTTTACAATTCGTAGCCAGATATTCTTGTCCAGGGCCCAGTCTTATTTTATCTCTCCTGCAGTTACATGCTTACTGACTCCCTGCTGCCGATAATATACAGTGTGAGTCAAAAAAAAAGTTAACACCTAGAAAGATACTACCGTAATTATTTTAAAAATCATCTATGAACAGTAAATTATTATATATCTATATATATATTATATATATCTTTTGAAAGAGTGTTTTATCCCGAATTATTTAGTATCATTTTTGTGTGGTTTGTGTTCACACTTGGATGAACAAGAGGCTTTGTTTGCGAGAGTGCAAAAATTGACTTGCGCCAAAGTTGCTCACGTGATGTTTGAATAAAACAATTGGGATTTGGGCATTAATTCAGTCTTTGCAGATCCAAATAGCATCCCTAACAAAATTAATCATGCCACACATATCAAATATTGAATATCAGATATCAACAAACATTTGTGCACGCGTGACTTTGCTTCTGCCAAAAGCATATGCAATGCATGTCATTTGATAAATTCAATTCATTCTCTCACTTAAGTCCCAACATATCACATACTGTTAAGCATCACTTTGGCGCAAGTCGATTTCTGCACTCTCGCAAACAATGCCTCCTGTTTATCCAAGCCTGAACACATACCACACAAACAGATACCAAATGATTTAGGATAAAACACTCTCTTTAATAGATGTATTATGATTTACTGTTCATTGATGATTTTTTAAATAATTTTTTTTTTTTGTGTGTGTCAGCGCCCTGATCAGTACTCTGCAAAAGTGCTTTATAAGAATCAATAATTATTGTTATTATTATTAATTGTATTTTTTATAGTGACAGACTTCCTTAATCGTGGTTGTTGGGTTTTTCATTTGATTAAATTGTTAGTGCAATTAACATTTTTTTAATCCACCTCACGTCCATGTCTATCGTATTACCCATCTATACAAGGATTATGCTTTTAACCACAAGGACTAACTGAGGTCTTTGTCTTTCAAGTTAAATTGCATCTGTAGCTCATGTTACCTGTTTGTCCCCTGTAAATAGGTTGGAAACAAATTATAAGGTAATTGACCCTGTTCTTTCTTGACATCAAATCAAGAGGAAATGTTAAAGGGATAGTTGAGTTCTGTTGCAGAGGGCGCTACACAAAATAATGTTTTTGTGAGATAATAAAAAAACTGAGTGTCAAATTTAAAAGAACATAATATTTAGATGATAAAATCATCTTTGTTTGATCAAAATCGGTTCAGCGACGGCTGAAATATAACAATTTCTAATACTTGTGTACCACCACAAATATTAGATATTTTGAAAAATTTGGAAAAAACGTTGAAAAAAACAAAATAACGCCTTTTACGTCGTATTTCAGTCAATGCCAATGTTGGCTTTTTTCACCCACAATTAGCCAGCTCATGTATTGTTATTTTAAATTTAATAATTAATTAATGGTCACCACGTTTTTTGAAAGTGGAGCTGAATTGGTATGATGGTATTGGCTAAATTTCACACATTTTGGGGTCTAAAATTACCTTCGTAGCAATTTTAGGTTCTAAAAGGGCACTATAAATGTCATAGATAAGAATAAGAGCAATAACCATGCACTTTGAAGGCATTTGCGGTCTGAAAACAGAACTCAACTATCTCTTTAATTGTACATAATGCAAAATCTTGTAAAAAAGAGGGAGGATTTATTTATGGTGAAAAATAAAGGTGACATTTAGCAATAAATTTAGTTGATGAGTCCTTATTTTATGGTTGGAATCAAAGAGAAGATCATAATAAGAAGCAGAAGTAGTGACGAGGTGAAGACTGGTATTTGTAGCGGTGGTGGTGGTGATGATGGTGGTGGTGGTGATGATAATGGTGGTGGTGATGATGATGGTGGTGGTGGTGATGATGATGGTGGTGGTGATGATGGTGGTGGTGGTGATGATGATGGTGGTGGTGGTGATGATGATGGCGGTGGTGGTGATGATGGTGGTTGTGGTGATGATGATGGTGGTGGTGATGATGATGGTGGTGGTGGTGATGATGATGGTGGTGGTGGTGATGATGATGGCGGTGGTGGTGATGATGATGGTGGTTGTGGTGATGATGATGGTGGTGGTGGTGATGATGATGGTGGTGGTGGTGATGATGATGGTGGTGGTGATGATGGTGGTGGTGGTGATGATGGTGGTGGTGGTGATGATGGTGGTGGTGGTGATGATGGTGGTGGTGGTGGTGATGATGGTGGTGGTGGTGGTGATAATGGTGATGGTGGTGGTGATGATGGTGGTGGTGGAGGTGATGATGATGGGGATGATGGTGGTGGTGATGGTGATGGTGCTGGCAATGTTGATAGTTGTTTATGGTATTTAGAAAAAACAAAATTATGGTTATGGTAATTTTGGTGGTGATTGTTGAGGTGGTATTGATCTTAAGATTTTATTGAAAATTCAATAATTGCTGTTTTTTTTAAAACCAGAATGGAATACAACCGACTGTTATTACAAAATTTCCGAACTAAAACTATGAATTTATTGAAGCTACTTGATAAGAAGTATTTAGTTTGACACAGAAGGAATGAAAGAAGGTGGATATGTATTGTAGACAGAGATAGGGATAACAAGTAGAAAACGAGAACTGGAAGAAGAGAAGGAGGGAGGGTGATAATATGATCGTCGTCGTCATCCTTTTTCTGCTCCTCCGCCCCCTCAGTCATCGAATGGAGAAGGGGTAAAAGTGTGAGAGAAAAGAGGTGATGAAGTGATAATATTGATGTTAGATGGAGTATTGTGAGTACATGCTGGACAGGGCAGTGTATAAACAAAAATAAGCGGGTGGCATGGTGACGGTCAGACAAAATGTTTCAACAAAATGAAAAATATTTTCTGTTTTCCAACAGGGCACGAAAAATATCCTACTGACGTTTGATTTCGGGACAACTATAAAGATGCGTGTCCTAGATTGTAAAATTATTGAAAAGTGTTTCAACACAAAATCCTCATAGCATAAGAAAAGCAAATGGACATAACATAATCTTACTGTCAGATAGAATGAGCAAAGGATTTGTCTCTCTACTGTGTTGTACGACATCAAGATATTTATCCGAAGCTTTGTATGAACATCGTTTTGTAATTTCTCCTTTATCACCCTTATGTGACAAATTCAGAGGCGGTGCTCCGGGGAGGGGGCACAACGCCCCCCCCAACTTCTTCAAGTACCCCAAAAGTGCCCCTTTTTACATAGAAAAAGTGTC